AGTAATACCAAGCAGATAAATGAATCGGACTCTCTTCCTTCCTTCTTTTGGGCGCAGGTCTGGTTCGCAGACTCGTGCCGTCGTGGACTCTCTCTCTCTCTCTCTCTCTACCGGGTCAGGAGGGGCAGCGGCAGTTAACCCCCCCGCACGCGTACGCACATGTATGCCTGTGTTAAAATGCTTCTGAAACACTGTATTTAAAGACGTGCACGCCTAGGTATACGGACAGCAAGCATTCGTGTCCGCATCTATGATGTGTGAGTGTGGGATGCATGCAGCCGGGGCGTGCGCATCGACAGTTAGAAGGCGTTGGCATATGGCATATTTACGTACGCAGACACTGTCACGACATGAAATTTTGGAAGTTCGCTTTTGCTGTTTGATACTAGCCTGAGCTGTGTGCGTGTGCAGATACATATAGAAGACATGAGAGCTGCATTTGAATTTGCACTTGTTTGTTATATAGCGGCTGTGCACCAGCCAAGTCCAATGGAGCCCCGAAGCAAAAACTGTTTGTCCATTTTTGTGCACTGCGTTTGCAGTCTTTGGTTGCGCGGTGCTAGATATGTGCATGTTGACACGTTATGCTGATTTACATGTCCTTCCGTGGGTGTACTCACTCCCGAAGCAAGGGGCTCTTGGACCCAGCCCGGGTCCGTCCGGCATGAAACATGAAGCTTTGCTTAAACTGTTTCGCTGCTTGCTGTCCAAAAGGCAAGAAGATGATGACCCAATGTGGGCCAAGCTCATGGAGCTTTCCCAGCAAGGCCGCTGCCTCAAGGAATGTGCCGATGCTGTGGGTAGGCAGTGAAGTGTGTCCGTGCAACAGATGTTGCGATTGCTGCAGGCTGAGCCAGGACACCCTTTGATGCGCCATGAGACGAGCTGGAAATGATGCGCAACTCTAGAGAAGGAGGGGTTGGGGTCTGCAGGAGGAGGCCTGCAGAAAGGTCTCGCTCTGTTGCAGGACCCGCAAGCTCCCTCAGCCATGTGCGAGCCAAACATTTTTGCCACACCGTCGATGCAAGAAAGATTGAACCCTAAAGTCGTCTCATTCGCCGACCTAGAATACCTAGAATCTCAGCAGAAACAGCTCAGTAAATGCGACCCTCTCGTGGTAGCCAAACCCTGAACCTCATGATAGTCTGACGTTCCTCGCTTCAGTAGTTGCTGTTCCTGTGAGATAATGTGGAGTTCACGCCGGCAGGTTAGATTCGGAAGCTTTCAGACGTGTCGGCATATGGATAGTTGCAAGGTGACTTCAGACTCAGTTTCCCATTAAATTTGCAATCTTTGAAATGCCCTTACATTTGCATCTCGTTGTGCCCGGTATCCAAACCCAAATATGAATTTTACACACGCAGCGTTGAATTTTAAATGCAGCGGATATCATACACACCGCGCCCATGAGAATGTGACAACGTGCATGACGTGCTAGATCCAAGCGTTCCACTTGCTAAGTCCGGGATGACCGATGCAGGACACGATGAACCTGCAGCCGGCTGTGAAGCGGCTTTTGAACTTGTCCCGGGATGCGGCCTCAGAGCATATGTAGCGTCTCGTCAAAACAGGAAGTCATGGTCCGGCTGTGCAAGATGCCGTGCTGCACTGCACCATTGAAATGGTCGGCAACCTGCAGCAGAAATCTCTTCAGGGGAGACATGAAATCGTTTGCGCGTCCAGTTGCGATGAGGTTACATATGCCCTGGGATCTAGCCGCTGCTCGTGCAACGCGTGTAGGGCCGGCAACACCGAAGCTCTCTCATGAAGCTCTCACGGATTTTGGGCCTCGTTCCAGTGAGGTCGTGCGCAATGTGCTCCGCACCGAGGGCATCGAAGAGCCTAAGGCCCCTTCACTTGTAAACAACAGCACATAACAGCACGCTCCGACTTCGATCCGATACTGTGAAGTGGCAGGACGTTATCCCGACGCGCCGTCCTGCACTGAGCAGTGCGGCAGGGCGCAAAATTGTGCTGCGTGCTTGTTACGATCATCGGAAGAGTTTCATCCATTCAATAAGCCCGTGCTGCATGCGTTTTCCTCGAGACTCAAACTCGAGGCATGGCCAGGGTCATCGCAAGGATTCTGCAGGAAATTGGAACGGATGGTGTGGATGCTCAGAGGGGACAAGCTTCAGTGGTCAGCGGTTCACAGGTCCCAGAAAAATAGGGGCACTGGCCCATCACAGCGCCCACCGCTATTTCCAAGATTGCCCAAAAGCACAGGAGTTCAGCCAGGCAGCCAGGCAGATGTATACAACATCAAGTCGATTCAATGCAGCTTTGCCAACTGGGCCCTGCAACCTCAATCAGGAGTAATCGTGGGTCTGAAGTGTCACTAGTGGACCCGTTCCCCCTCAGAAATCTTGGGAACGCACTGAACCATGCGCCGAGGTAAGCATGTTGCCGCAACTTGGAAGCAATTCAGAATCGACGGGGGCCACGTGACACCGCTGACAGTTTGACAGGTTCAGTTCGTACTGTAGCGGAGCATGGTCAGGATGGGACAATCACGAAGCTGGAAGACGACATTCGCGGTGTCGTGGAGGGGGCGGTTCTTGGCAAAGGCCTAGCGAGATTGTTAGGGCTGTTGAATCCTTTTTATGATACTTCTATGCATTCCTGACCAGCTGGCCTAGTATTTTTCTTCGGAACCTCAAACTGCCCCTAATGCTGCTTGCGAACCGTCTCCTGCAGGTCTTGATGTGGCCAAGATCACCAGACTTTTGTGGGCCTTCGCCTCAGGATTCAAGCAGTCAGGACTCCCTACACCTGCAACGGCAGGACGATGAAGAATAAATGTGGGTACGGCTTAATATTCAAGCTCGACCTGGCTCCACTTTGAGCGTCCCTTGTCAGCGAGACGAGCCCATGCCATGGCCCCCTGCTCTCGAGCTCACTGTCGTCACTGCGGCATGACCGTGGGTATGATTGGGGTTTGGCTGAAGCCTCCGGCTGCACGAAGCCAGGTGTGCTGCAACTGCAGCAGCAACCGCGGGGCGAGGCAACTACGAAGGAGCCCATGCTCGCAGACGGGCTCAGCAAACTTGGTTGAGTTTTCGCACATGCCGAAGGATGAGCTGAAGCAGTTACGATCGAGACGGCCAACGAAGTCATGCTCCTCTGCTCCTCGGCCTTTTCACATGGAGGCCGGGGTCGAGCAACGAGGGCCCGCTATATTTATAGCGCTGGGGATGGGTCCCCGCGATCCTGGCGAAATAGTCGTTAAAGCGCGGCCGGCCAGGCTGAGCCAGCTACGACGGGCGCCCTGCCAGGAAGCCGCAATGAGTTTGGACTTCCTATCCAACGAGCTCCCACTGGTCCAGTGGGAGCTCGTTGGATAGGCATTCCATGGTCAACTTTAACGAGGACTTCTGCGACATCCGGGCCGGCGATGCACGAAGCTGTAGCAGCTTACGTAGGGCCTGTCGGATCTGTCGGCCAATTTGATGGCTGGCCATGGTGGCGGTTAAATTAGTGGTTAAATTGGTGTGTCCATGAAAGCCATGATCAGTTGGTTGCGGAATGCCACAAAGAATTCCTTCTGTCGGCTCTTTCATTCGGTGACTCGCTGATGTCACCGAGGAAAATGTAATGCTGTTGCTGTTTAAAGCAACGTTTCACCATCTAACCGTACCGGCAGCTGGGGGAAGCAACACTCCCCCGTCCCTCGAGCGCGAGTGCGAAAACTCTTGAATGTCAATTACTATGTATGTCTAGAAAGATATCAACTGCACAAGCAAGCGATCCTGCGTTTAGGTTGGCCTGTAGACGTCTCCAGACGCAAGAAGCTGCCGATACGCATGAAGCACGGAACGTTTGTTACGCTTTTTTGCAGTCTGAGTCGAAGGGTGGCAGTTGCCGCGTTCATTCTACCACAGCCGTGACCTGCCAGGACCACCTGCCAACTGAGGCTCTCAACTTTGTGCAGGAGCGGAGTTCCCCCTGATCATGTTTTGCTCGCCTAGTTCGTGTGCAGTGGTTGCTGAAACTAACTAGTTTGATCGGAAAGGGAGCATCCGAAGCAGACGCCTTTGCAGACTCCCCCGTGGTCTGCAGTTAGTTACGAGATTTTGCAATCACTTTACGTGACAACGTCGTGTATTTAGATGCAAAGCAGTGCCAAAGAACAGAGGTGTAGACACAGTAGGCACTTTCTCAGAAGAGTTTTGCATGACTAGTCCCTCCTAAACATGCCGACTCCAGGAGTACACGGCAGAAGTGGCCGTCACCTCAATTGACGTATTCGTCGCAGAAGCAACACCACGTTGTCACTCTCGATCGTCGCTGTCTCAAGGGCGATGCGTATACACGTGGCAGTGTGGCCGGACTAGAGAATTCATGCTTTCCGCTTCAAGGACTTCGTGATCAAATGGTTTGACTCGGTGCTACGACCCACAGAGCCGACATCTGGGCCCGGTGCTTGAACCAGGGCGACAGGGCGATGCTCCGAATGACGGTAGTGCCATTGCTCATAGCAGCCATAGCAGTATCACTACCGCTGTTATTGCTGAGCCTAGCTATGGTATATCGTGCATGCGAATATTCGCTCATATCCTTATTAGCATTGGCTTCGTCCGGCTACTGATGGAAACTTCCTTGGTGCTCTGCCTGCCTACCATGACTTCCTGGGGCTTTGTCGCAGCGAACCGTTGTTGAAGGGCCTGAGCTATGTAAGAAAATGCCGCATGTGTTGGCCTTCATCCGCAGCCGCTGATGGCTCCCTGGGCTGCCTGCGGTGCCTTTCTGTAAGGCGCGGAAGGATAAGTTTCCAGATTCGTATCCACGGCTCTTTGTTCAAGGCCGTCTCTAGTTAGGCTTGAAGAACCAGGGACTGATACTTTTCCACAGGGCCAGGGCTCTTTGCTATTACGATGATGCCTGCTTCAGGCATCTTCAGGCTGGACCAGCATCGTATCAGCTTTGAGCAGGTACTAGTACTGTCCTCACCCAGAATCCAAAAAAGCCTGCGCGCCTGTACTGTAGTCCTTCGGAAGGCAATGAAGGCGACGGCGCTCGTCGCACTCCTTGCACTTGGGGCAGAGGCTGTCAAAATTCTTCCGGCAAGGATTTGGCCATGTCGATGTGCCGTTTTGGCTGGACTTATTCATCTTGCGCCTGCTGAAGAGCCGAATGGTTCAGCTGAATGTCAGTAACGTCACTGGTTCCTTTTCAGAGCTGATCGTGGGAAGAAGTCATGTAATGATAACACTTACCCTTGGCAGGGGGTTTCGCTGGAAGATGCACTTCCTCATGTGAGAAAGCTGCCCCGGGTGCCGGAGGCGGGTGTGCTTTGGAAGCGCGCCCATTGACTAAACACAACTTGATGACAAAGCCGTCGAGTTGAAACAGTTGTTTGATGGATCTCATCAACACCTGCACGGAGGTGTTCAATCCTGGACCCGATGGGATGCCACAGCTGCCGGATGTGGCTTGCACCTCAGCCTACTTCCACGACGAAGAGACCCCGTGAGCAGTGCGGGAACACGTCATCGATTCTCGTGGCGCACTTGACCCAGGAATTGCGATGCCGCAGTGTACTTGTAAGAGCCCAGCCGCCTTCACCAAGGACAAGTTGATGACTGAATTCCAGGATGTGAAGCATACCCTGAACTCGCAGGCACTGCGGCCGGGAATAAGGCTCTAATTGGGGATGGGTGGCCGCAGGAATTGCCTCGCCCACTCGAAGTAGAAAATCTTCTTGGCCCTGTGATCAGGCAAGCAGCTTCGCCGCACATCTGTCGCAGGCAAGAGGATTGGAAGATCACGCAAGCACGTCAACCGGTAATCACGCTCAGGAGGTCCAGCTCAGAGGTATGAATACAAGTTCAAGGTAGACTCAGACACGCAAGGGCTTCCCCAGTATGATACCATCGGGCAAAGCATAGGTCCAGTTTGTGGATGCCCAGGCTGACCCGTCGATCTTGTGTTTATTACTGCCAGTGCAAGAGAGGTGGAGCATGCCAGCCTGGATCGCATCGCCAAGACCAAGGACGCATGGATTGAAGAACCCACATGTCTGGCAGTTTGGTGCCGCACGTCTTGCAGCACAGACGAAAGCTGCACAAGAAGCTTGCAAAAATGTGCCATATGCTTTCAAGCCCGTCATCCTTTCCAAGTTGAGCCCACATGCTCATCTCTGACCCAAGGCTGCTTTTGATGCACGTCTTCGAGCCCAAGAGAATGTCAACCAGGCTTTGATGCAACTGGAAACATTTTTGCTGCAGAAGTCTTCCATCATGGTGCCGAGCCGGCTAGCTGAGAGCCAGAATCATAACCCACAAGGGGGCATATCAAGTTGTTTACTGAGAGCACATTCTCTTCGGGGACAGCCCATCTCCTGAATCAAAAGCCACCGCAGGCAGTTGCCAAAGACAACGCCCACCTTGCCACAGAGATCGTCCTGGCACGGCAAAACAGAGAAGAACTGAAAAAGAAGGCTCATGAAGAAGCATTCAGTGCAGATGCCTACATAACAAAAGCAAGTTTGCAGCAAGCTGATGTTGCTGCGCTGGCTTTGCAGTGCTGCTTTCCTCTGTCAGCCTGAACCAGAACGTAGCATGCAAATGAGCTTGGCTGCGCTCGGACATGAGCGCCTAGCTGGGCATCAGCGCCAGAGCAGGTGAAGCAGGAGGACCAGCTGATCTCTTTCCGGCGGACTGAACTGAAAGCTCTGGACCGGACTCTGCAAAATTGATTGCTTATGTTTTTTGCATGCAGAGGTAGCGATGCCTCTCAGCTGAATCCGCAGGAGCAGCAGCTCGCTAAGGGCGAGAAGTTTTTGCACAGGTCTCTGGACGCCAACGATCCCACAAAGGCGATGCGCGCTGTGCGTCTGTGTCAGCAACCGACACTTGCAGATAATTTCTAGGGCCTTCAGGCCTATGGGCCCAATCATTCGAGCCGTCAACAACATCTCCGAGCCAACGATTTGCCCAGAAAACGCACAGGATGTTTCGTTCCTTCACTTGGACAAGGCCGATGCGCTGTCAGGGCAGTGCAGTGTAGACTCCTCTGAGTGCTAACAGCCTTGGCATCGAGTATGAGGTGCCCTCACGTGGCTCCCGAATCGAGGCTCAGTCCGGGCGCTTTGCTTGGCTTCGGGTCTTGACTGAATTGTGTCTTCGCCAGGAGCCGTCGACTCCAGCAAAAGACCAGGATACAGCGTTCGAGCCGGATGCAGGCCGGATGCTGCTTGCTTGGTTTCAAACTGCTGTGCCCGCGCTGGGTTGAGGCAGCGAAGTATTTGCCTTTGCATGACTTTTGGGTGACTTGAGCTCATCAGTCATCCCGCACCAGCTGTTTATTCGACACCCTTGCCCCAGTTTCTTTCCTGGAGCTGCGGCTTGGTGGCAGTGTCGCAGGAGAGGCCTCTTACTGGGGTTTCTCTGGGTGTGGAAAGCGTGCAACACCAGAAGCAGCAAGGCCTCCTCGGATAGCATCCTCAGCTGGCACGACTGTACGCATCATGCCCTGGACATCTCAGGTCGCGCAAGCACGTAAGGAGGAAAGCGAAGGCACGTGCAGCCCGCGTGCAGCGACACAGCAGTAGAATGTTTGCCGGCTTCGCTCCCCCCAATAGATGTGACCAAACGTCACCCCTCCCAGTGCTTGGCTTTGTGACAGGGTGCCAGGGGCTCCCTGCGCTCGAGCCGCGGCTTGCAAGCAAATAAGCCGCCGTGGCCACAAATAGTGATGCAGACGATGCAGGTTATCGCATTGAAAACAGCTGGGTGGGCCCAGAACACCTCCCAAACATTCTGAAACTAGGTCACGAAGAGGAATTTCAGCTGCCTCTCCTCGGCGACGGTGGCGATGCGCATTCCGGCCTGGATCAGTTTGATGGCAACTAGTGACCAGGACTCGTTCGACCATCTATAACAGAAGGCAGCCACACAATTGAAAAGCAAAACCTCTCACGTTCATTTCCGATGAGGCAGCGGCATCAACAAGATAAGTTCTCGCTTGAAAAGAGCACTTCTTCGCTTCCGACTATCAGGTCCCTGAACATAACCACCTCGCTGTCGAAGGCGAGCTGCGTTTTGCATGCTGCTGATGTGCTATTTGATTGAGAAGTAGGGCATACAGAAGCTCCCATCTCAACTGGCAGACTTAGTTGGAATCAATGTCAGAAATGGGCACCTCTCCACCCCTTTGCAGAGCCATCTCGGTGCATTGGTTCCGGCTTTGACACTGCAGCACATACAGTGGTTTCAATGCGGGCACAGGAGAAGACGGCAAGCACTGAAGAGGAGGAGAGGATCATTGGTGTTTTGCCCGGCTCAGATGTGTGGTTCATTCGGCACAATAAGGATTGGGTGAGTTCGCCAAGTGAAGAACCACTGATCCATGCAATCTTGCAACAGCGGCAAGGTGCTAGAAACTCTTCCGTGAGTTGTGCAGCACGGCTACTAAGGTGACCTCACGAGCGAGCTGCGACAGTTGCACAAAGCTGAGATGCTTCTCAGATGCACAGTTAACGAGTCCTGCGTTTCGATTTTTCATCCAGAAGGTGCATATCTGTTTCAGTTGATCGAGCTAAGAGGACAGGAAGTTGCCAAGCCGGCAGGCGTCCAGGCCTAAAGCGGCTGGGTTCGCATCTGGTTGAGAGCCGCAGCATCAGCCGAGGCAGAGCGAATCAAAGCTGAACGAGCTTTTCCACGCAAGCTTCCAGGCCTGGTCCTCTGCCGGCCACAAACGAATCTGCATCAGTAAAGAGCCCACCCAAACTCACTGTCTGCGCAGTCACCTGGGACAGAAATTGCCACTGGCCGAGCCCGAAACCTCAACTGCAGGCCGGAAAGCAGCGCACTCGTCTCAGTCAAGGGGCTCTCGGTACTCGTAAACGGGCAATGTTGGCCACACGCAGCCGCAGACAGCAGCTGGATTCATAAAACAGGTAGAAGAACAGCACATTGGCCTTTGAGGCCATGCAGCCCTCCTTGCGCAGCAGTCGCTGCTGAAGAGCCTTGGCTTTCGTGGGTTCGTAGATCACGATTTCGCCAGTGCGAGTCTGCACTACTCCAGCCACGCCCTTAAGCTCTCAGGAACGAGCTGGATCAGACCACTGCCCAAATCAGCAACCAGGATGCAGGATGAGCATGATTGAAGGTCGATCTTCTGAGGTTCAGTGGCAGCCCAGAGGAAACTGAATGGTACGCAAGTCGAGCGTGCACACTGAGGCAAGCTGCAAGAGGCCTTCGATCACCTGAAGGCCACCGTCAGACTGCCGTTGGGGAGCAAAGCTACTGCAAGGCCCTGCAGTGGAGAACTGCAGTACATGGATGAACATGCCGAAGGGGGCGGGGATGCTTTGTTCCTGTTTTTGTCGATTGGGGGAGGAACATGGGCCTTATATATCCTTGTATGGCACCGTGGCTGGGGGCGTTGGACGACGTGCAGCGGACGGCCCGAACGCAGAATAAGAAGTGGAATCGCATCTTCCTCATGTTGCTAGAGCGCAATGTAGGCCAGGAGCAAGGAGGGAGGGAATGACAGGAAGACGGCGAGGTCAGAAGCAAAGCTCGCCCTTGCCACGCAGTTCAGAGCCTCCTCTGGGCGCGCGGTTTGGGATTAGCAAAGCCAGGCCAAGTTGAATGCTTTGGAGGGCGACCTTCACCAGGAAGGCCTCTTCTTTGCCGACCTGGAGAAGGCGCGACCGTACACCCCCTTCTCCATTTCAGAACTCTAATCTGTTTGGACTTATGTGGGGCATTTGGATTCGGAGGAAGTCCGCGAGTCGATGCCAACTGTTCCAACAAATCCGTCTACGGCTAGAGAAGTTATGTCGTGTCACGCCGCCAGAGACTTGTGTCAATCCTGGTGTTGCTCCAGGAAGCTCATTCATTTGCAGATCGGTGTTGCTGGAATATTGCAGCAATATTGCGCTTGTGCGTCGCTACTGTGTATTGTAAAATATATCGAATAATTACCATGCAGGAGAACGTTGCCTTCAGGTGCTATTGGAAAGATCTCGTGGGCACGTATCGAATCAGAGCGTCCTAAGGGGGGATTCATGTTCTCGTTTGTCGTTTCTTGGTGGCATTTATTTCTTCCTGACCGAATGTCTGCACACACCGTTCCCTGCTTGGAAACAAGCTTAGGCTAGGCCCAGAGACAGCTTGGGCTTCAGGTTGCGATGGCTTCGACGCCGGACGTGCCAGCACTGTTGAAGGACGGACTTGAACAGACGCCAAACCAAGCTGTCTTAGTGAAGCTTCCCTTAAGCCTTCAGCAGCTACTTCGAACTAAGCGACACCGCTTGAAGCCGTGCTGCCTTACTGCCGGTTACTGCGGTGACTGTTTCGAGATGTTGGGGCCCAATGAGGCGGTGACGAACGAGCTTCCCGACAAGTGATGCGCGGTACAAGGTTTCATAGATCCGGCTCTGATTCTGCGTGACTTCCTATTCAAGCTCTTCCATCCTCTCTCCGACCCCTCCCTCCCTCTGTCCCTCTTTCTCTCTCGCTAGCTCGCTCACGGGCGACAAACTGCCTGCTCACTGGATCAAACCTGTGTGTCTGGCTTTGAGAAAGATCCGTGTGCACCCTACTGTATGCCCGGGATCCAGAGTCAAGAAGAGCGTTGAAATGATGGTTGCAGCAACGGCTCCTATCTGTTTCGCTTTCTAGCTGCCGCAGACAGAGGCAGACACAGCTTGACACTTGACATAATGTATCATAACGTACTGAGCTCAAGCTCCGAGGGGCTATTCTGACAGATGCCACAGTCTTTCGGGAGGTCCGACTGCTATCCAAAATAAGTCGACGAGTCTTGCGATAGGGCCAGAGGCGGAGCCAAATGCTGAAAGCTTGGGGTGAAAGCTGACCCGCCCACCAATTGCCAGAGACCTCCCTGCCGCCGCCCTGCAAGCGTTCCTTTGGCAGCTGCTGCCTACCGCAAAAGTGGCGCGTGCTTTTACCTGGTTGCGATCGGCCCCCCTGGCTCCTAAGCACTTTGCAAGCGCAGCCCCATGCTCACATCGGACCCAGACTCAGACCCTAATGCCCTAATGATTTTCAGTGGCCTTGGACTTGAATCTCGTTGTCCCTGCATAGCAGCCCCTCAGATTTGATGAAGGCTGGTTGAGCCACTGTGCCTGTGCCATGGGTGCAAAAGGCTCCGTACAGGCCTTAACAGAGGACACTCGATCGCAGAGCCCTGAAAAGCTCAGCCTCAATCGCCCTAGGAACCTCAGCCTAAGACTTAAGATGTTCTAGGTGCTCCTTTGTCCCAGGCTGCCAAGGATGCTGGCTTGGGGCCATGCACTGCCTGGGTCCGTGCGCTCTCGCCGGATGCCTTGCCCAACGAAGGCAAGAAGGGAACAGACGGAAGGATTTAGTGCACTAAGCATGCGCCCACCCTGGCCTTTCGGGTTTGACAACACTAGAGACAAAGAGATTTGGACTTACCTCGACGGGAAGGTATTGCCTTACGCAGTTCCTTTTTGCAATCGGCTACTTGCATCTCCTCGTGGGATAATTGTCGACTCCGTGTCCACAGTCCCGTACCGACAGGCCTCCGCATGCACACACGCACACACACACACANNACGCACCCACGCACCCACCCACCCACACACCCACACACCCACACACACCCACCCACCCCCACACCCACACCCACACCCCCACACACACACACACACACACACAGAGACACGGCCTGAGCGGGAAGAGAGAGAAGCCCGTTGAGGATGGAGTCGGAGCTGAATCATGGCCAGGCGCCCCCTCGCCCAATGGGACTTCTGTGCCCAGCTCCTCACCGACCGGAAAAAGCCCAAAGGCAAGGATCTCTGACACGACGTGCCCAAGAGATCATGCCAGTTTCGGGCTTTTGCATCGGACTGTGACTGGCGAAAGCGGTTAGAGAGTGTGATTGTCAGGTTGAAATCTGCCAGGGCTGCCAGGCCTGCTCTGCAAGCACCTGCGAGTTCTGCTGCGCAACTCTTCGGACTTGGAGCTACCGTAGTAACCTTGAAGCGCACGCTGACAATGGGGAAAGGTCGGGTGGTTTGGGAGTGCACGGTTTTGGTGTGACTTCCCGAAAAACAAGTCAATTGTCATTAGCTCCAGTCTGTTGTCTGCCTGGCATGAGGCCAAAGTCCAGGAGTATGCGCAGGGTGCCAGGGCTGAGCCTGGACCTCAGTGTCTACTGGTGGCGGGGTTTTGTGGTTGCGGGAAACAAGCTAATGACACATCTACAGAGCCAATCCGACGGATTAGTAACTGTTGGAATCATTCCGCAAGCTGGAACAGAACAGGACCAGCTCCGGGGACATCGGGCTTTCAACCGGACTCGGACACAGGCGTAGCGCAGCGCGCAGGGAGGGGGGTCCAAACGCCCAGCAAAGCAAGCAAGCAAGCAAGCCAGAAAGAAACAATGAGAGAGAGAGAGAGAGATGACGTTTTTACTTGTTGCCTTGACCCAGGTTGTGATAGGTTCCCCCGAGCCATTCAGACTCGAAGTCATACTGCTGGATAATCGAAGTGCTGCTTGGTTGTTGTGCAAAATCGTGTAGCCCTACTTGTTTACAATTGTACATTGGGGGACAGTGCATCCAGCAGCTAATTCATGGGTGTCCCAAAGATGTACTGTGCTTGCCCGGGGGATAAGCTCCGGAAAATAGCAAGCTTTCACACCCCCCTGAAAACCCCATGAAATTTGGGGGGCCAACTGGCCGGGGGGTCTAACCGACCCCTCATGCCCTGGGGAAGAAGAGAGCGGGGCCGTGGGGAGCTCCCCTAGTCCACAGCCCTAACGAAAGAAAGAGCGGGGCCGTAAATTAAAGCGTTTTGCTGCTCATGAACCAAGCATACACAGCCGAGCCCATCCACGTGAACTGCAGGATGGAGTTGCCCTCAGGAGCGGGGAGCTGGGACTGCCAGCTCCTCATACCCCACAGCAAAGTGCAAAGCGAGAGAGAGAGAGAGAGAGAGAAGAATTTGGCTCAAGTCGACCTGCCGCTTCCCTTGGGGGGGGCGCTCGAGGACGGCCCTTCGGGGGTGCTGGCTGCTCCCAGCACCCCTGACGGGTGGACGCTCTCCATCGAGCGGAGGAAGGCTTGAGCCTCATATCCGTTGCCGCCTGGCTTCAGTGGCCCTTGCAGGAATTTTAGGGGGGAGAGAGCAATAGACAAGCAGGGCAAGTTCGCACCACTACACCCTTGGAGGGGAGTTCTACACTGCAAGATCTTCTTCCCAGACTTCCTGTCCGGGGGGGGGACACACTTCTTCGCCAACGACCCTGTCGACTCCGCGGTCGCGCTGACCGGAACGAACCACTTCGCTGGACGGGGGACAACCTCTAGCGGAAGATCGTGACTTGGCAAGAAGGACCAGACCGTGAAGTTTGCACTACATGCAGGGGGAGATGGACAAACAGTGTAAACTTTGTAGACTTGGGGAGGGGGTCTGCGCTGTCGGATTTCGGAAGTGCCACGAAAGGTCTGATCCACAATGTCGTTTGTTTGGATCTACAGCGAAAGCCAACAGACCTCGCAGTCGTCTTATGCAAGGGGATTTACAGCAAGAAGCAACACCTCGCAATTTCGGGACGGACTTCGAAGCCGCCCCGTGCAAGGAGACCCTCAACAAGAAGCACTACCTCGTACAGGAGGGGATGCAACGACCTCTCAGCCACACTTGAGACCACTCTCGGAGATGACACAGTTCGAGACGCGCGGGGGAAGGATCCTCCTCTTTGAATTGAACCTGAACGTCTCGATGCTTGGATAGGCCGGGGGATCGAGAAAGACCATGCCACCGGACGTTACCTCGACCTTTCAACGGGGAAGCCCCTCTCAAAAAAGGACGCTACTTCCTACGAAGCCTACCACACCAGACGTTTGCGAAGGAGCCGACTGGGGGACAGAGTGGACCGCTACATCCGCCTAGTCGACAAGTACGTGCCGAAAGTCTCGGAGGAAGCGCGTGTCTACATAGCTCGCTTTCCACACAAGGTGGGGGAAGTACTCAAGCAAGTGCGG